CTCTCTCTCTCTCTCTCTCTCTCTCTCTCTCCCCTTTCCTCCATCCTGTTTAATTAACTGTTGTCCTTTTTTTCCTTCTTTTGCATCTCTTTTCATTTCCCTTCCTTTTTTCTTTCTTTGCCCCCTTCCTTATTCCCTTTCTTTCCTTCTTCCTTTCAACAAGAATTCATTAATCAACTACTATACCTGTTTCATGATGTAAAAGAATAATTGCTTTAGGGAGCTCTGATCTCCTCGCATATCTAAAATCATGGAGCTTTCCCTGGTATTCATATAGAGAATGGTATGGTATTCATAGAGAAACCTGTGGTAATATTGAAGCAGCTCTTTCCTGTCTCGTTTGGAGATCTGAATAGGTAAATCATCATCCAGTCTTGGGGCTTTCCTGTTCCACACAGCTCTAACTGCAGTAATTATTTTTTGACAGTTGGAGCAATGTCTGTATTGTCGTACACTGGCAGCTGCTCTGTGCTCCATCAGCCCTTATCCTGTTATATAGTTCCCTCGCCAATGACAGATTTGCTATCTCTGCTTTTCAGTTCACATAGCAAATGCTAGATCTCTTTCAGGGTTATCCTATTTTGGTCTTATTCCCTTGATTACAATCACCCAAGTGTACATCCTACAGCTATATCAATGTGACTTTTCCCCTCCTGTGACAGAGCTTCAGACTTTAAGCTTAGTGTTACTTCATCTGATATTTATATCAAACTGAGACTGTTGCATTTTGAACCTTTAATAGAAAATGAAATAGCAAATGAAATTAAGAAAACCAAGCTTATCCTTATGGATTCAATTCAAAGGCATTAATTGAGCATTTACCCTATGCTAGGTGCTAGGGAAACAAACATAAAAACTTAAGTAGTCTCTCCCTGAGAGAGTTTATAGTCAAGTGTCATAGGCTTAGAGCTGGAGGGGACCTTACAGTCTGCCTCTCCCACCCCTGTGGTTTCACAGATGAAGAAACTGAAGCCCAGAGAGGTTGTGACTTGCCCAGGAGCATGCAGCTAGTGAGTACCTAAAGGGAAGGATTTGAACTCAGGTCTTCCTAACTCCAAGTCTGGTAGTGTACTAGAGGAAATATGACAAGTCCATAAGTAAGTATGATGCAGTGTAAAATAGGAAAAATTGAATTCAATTTAATAGACAGTCATTAAGTATCATAGGCAAGGCACTATGTTAGGGGCTAGGCATTTAAAAATTTTAAATGACACAAGCCCTGCTCTCAGTGAGATTACAGTCTTCTGGGGGAGCTATAGAGTATGTATAGATAAATACTATGCCAGGTAAGGGGAGGTGGGGACAAAGGGAAAATGCAAGTATTGCTTTGAGGAGTGAGAGAACATGGGCATTTAGGGGTCTCAGAGAAGGCTTTGTAGAGGGGGTGGCCCCTTAATGGAGCCCTGAAAGAAGGATTTCAACGGTTGAGATGAAAAAACAAATTCCAGGTATGCTTCTGATATGTGGGTATATGGACATCATTAGTCTACTTGAATCCACAAAGGCAAGATATGGTAAGACATGGTCAGAGGATAGTTAGTAGTACAATTTAACTGGAATATAGAGTAGGTGAACAGAGCTAAATTGATGTAGGGATGGGAAAGCAGTTTGAAATGAGAACATGGAGAGCCTTAAATTCCATGCTAAAGAGTTTACATCTTTTCCTAGGAGCAATTTGTGTGATAATTTAACAGATTGAGACCACCAATGGAATATGGCAAGAAAAAAATGGCTTGAGGGCATGTCTTTCTCCCTGTACCACTTTTCATAGTACATATCTAGTTCTAATACCAATTCCCCCAGTTACATATAAAGACATTTTTTAACATTCATTTTTAAAAAATATTTTGAGTTCCTAATTTTCTCTTTCCTTCTTCCCTGGGATAGTAAGCAATTTGGTATAGGTTATACATGTTCCAAAACATAATACCATATTAGTCATGTTGTAAAAGAAGACACAGACCCAAAGGAAAATGCACACACACACACACACACACACACACACACACACACACACACGCACACATGCACACACACACATGCACGTACAATATAGAAAGTGAAAAATAGTATGCTTTGATCTGTATTCAAATTCCATCAATTCTTTCTCTGGCGGTGAATAGCATTTTTCACCATGAGTCCTCTGGAATTGACTGGGATCTTTGTATTGCTGAGAATAACTAAGTCATTTACAGTTGATCATTCTACAGTATTGAAAAAGTTTGTTGGAACTGATTTATGAAGGAGCCTTGAAATTCAGGATAAGCAATGTGGACTTAATATGGTGAACTAGAGAGTGATCAGAACCTGCATAATGTAGTAAAGAAGAACGAGAAATGGGGCAGCTAGGTGCTGCAATGGATGGAGTGCCAGGTCTGGACTCAGGAAGACTCATCTTCCTGTGTTCACATCTAACCTCATACACTTACTAGCCATCAAACCCCCATTATTACAATACTGGCAATGGGAAAGGGTGGTGGTAAGATAATTACAAGGATTTGGTAATTACAGAACCTCATCATCTCAGAATTGGAAGGGATGTCATGTCATGTAGTCCAGCCTATGCCCAAGGAGGAATCTTTTCTGCAATGTAACTTCCTAGTGGTCATCCAACTTTTGCATAAGGATCCACTCCTGCTGTAGACATTCCACTCCACTTTTGGGCAGCTCACATTATCAGGAAGTTTTTCCTGACATCAAGTCTTGTCTGTTTGCAATTTTTACCCATTTCTCCCTCTGGGACTAAACAAACCAAGACAAATCCATAGGTCAGCCCTGCAAATACTCAAAGATCACTTCCATACCCTCTGACCCCCCACAAGTCTTCTCTTGTCCAGAGAAGACATCCATTTCCTTCAAATGGTTCTCATATTGCATCATCTCAAAGACCTTTATCATCCTGGTTACCTCCTCCATATGTTCTCCAGCTTTACCAATGTCCTTCCTAAAATGTGGTTGCTGGAACTGATCTGACCATGGTAGGGTAGAGTGGGACTACCACTTTCCTAGTCCTGTGCATTCTGCTACTTTTGTATTTGTTGTCTTGGCTGCCCTATCATAATATTGACTCATGTTGAGCTTACGTATCACATAAATTTTTCATTAAAATTGATATTTAGCCAAGCAAGCCTCTCCTATCTTTATTTATGAAACTGACTTTTTGAACCCATGTGTAACTTTATATTTATCTCTATTAAATTTCATTTTATTAAATTTGACCCAATGTTCTTGAGGTCTTCACTCAATCTTGACTGTCAGTCTTGCTGTCATTCTCAAATATAAATTGATTCCTGCTGGTACATATTGATTTAGAAAACCCACTATGTTGTATTCTATATTTATTCATTTAGTTAAACATTTCCCATTTGCATTTCAGTCTGGTTCAGAGCCCACTTGGTGCCCATCTGAGTTTGACACTTCTGATCCAAAGCATAGATATACCTCTCCCACCTTCATGTCATCTGACAATTTGTCTTCGATGACTTTATCCAAGTCATTGATAAAAATGCTAAACAGGACAGGGCCAAGCACAGATCCTAGAGAAATGCATTGATAACCTCCCTCCAAATTGATATTTAATGTTTGTGTATAGCTCTTTGGGTCCAGCCATTCAATCTATTTTAAAACCTCCAAACTATAAATTTATCTATTATACTTACTGCCCTATTTTCCGTAATAATAGCATGAGATTTTTTATCAGATGCTTTGTTAAAATCAATGGAAGCACTACCTGCATAGCAGAAGTACTTCTACTACCCCCAGTGAAAAGAAAGAAGTTGGCCTATAAGGCAACAGATATTCAGGTGGACTTTTAAGGAGTGTTTAAAAATAAAAAGAAAGATTCTTGTGGCTTTTTGGTTGCCCCAAAACATTGTGGGCCAGCGTGTTTCCCTTTTTATACCTCAATATGTTTTTTGAAACTTGTAGTTTTAGATTTTCACTGCACTAAATGAGGTCACCATTCTTTTGAAGCAGGAAATGTTTCCAAGTTAATAATTATCAGCCAAGTGACCCAGTGAATAGAACATTGGACTTGGAGTCAGGAAATCCTGAGCTTAAATCCAGCTTCAGATACTTACTAGCTGTGTGATCCTGGGCAAGTCACTTAACCTCTTTCTGCCTCAGTTTTCTTAGCTGTCAAATGGAAATGATAATAATTGTGGGAATCAAATGAGATAATATTTCAAAGTGCTTTGCCTGTCCTTAAAGCACTTTATAAATGCTAGCTATTAATATCTCATAGAAGCTTATTTGCAGTGAAAAGGATGAGTATGTATACATACTCATATATACATATTACTTTAAAGTCTTTGTAGGATTCCATATTGTATCATATGAATCTCTTGATAACCCTGTAAGGTAGGTACTATTATCCTCACTTTATGTGAGGTAATTTAAGCTCAATGAAGTTAAATCCTATAGCTAGCAAATATCAGAGGCAGAATCCCTAACATGGGTCTTCTTGACGTTAAAGTCCAGCATATGACTCACCGTGCCATGCTATTTAATACACTGAGATGATAACACCTACTTGCAACATTTTATTTCTATGCCATTTTCATAATGTAGGGAGACCCAATTAGATGGGCATCTCCTTTCTAAAGCTGCATAGAATTCAAGGATGTATTTAATGCAAGACTTGTCATTTTATTCAGTAACATGTTCTGTTTTCATTTGAGGGTGAACCTGGCTTGCCCGGAACAGCAGGACAGAATGGAACACCTGGGCCTAAGGTTAGTTTAAAAAAAAAGTCATGTACATTTTCTGTACACTAGAAATATCTGTATAAAATATCATGATATTACCACTTTTGATGTGACTGATATTAAACTTGTGTGTCCTTTTTTGCCTATTAACACCATGACACACTGGAAGATTTCTCTTTATACTAAGTGAAAAAAAATTATTGCTTGGGACATTATAATTAATGTTCATTATGCTTCTTCCTGATTTAGAAAACAAATAGGATATAATTAAGTCTTTCCCATCACCCCAGACTTTTTCTCTCCTTTTTTTAATTTTATTGGCATATTCACTCTTACTTCCAAATATTTCCCTCCCACCTCTCCAGCCCAAGGAGCCATCCCTTGTAACAACAAGGAAGAAAAACAGTACAGCAGAATAAGCAATACAGCCACACCCATATTCCCCAACTCTACAAAGAAGCCAGGGAGGTCCATTTTCTCATCTCTTTTTCAGGGCCAAGCTTGGCCATTATAATTTTACAACATTCAGTTCTGATTGCTTTGTTATTGTTTTTTTCTTTTATGTTGTTATAGTCATTGTTTTCTTTATCTTGCTTACTTTTTACTTTACTAAGTATTTCATAGATTTTTTCCCATGCCTCCCCATATTCTTTATGGATATAAGTTCTTTTTCCTTTTCTTTTCTTTTCTTTTCTTTTCTTTTCTTTTCTTTTCTTTTCT